GAGAGGAAGAACAGATCATATAAAAACCGCCCGGGTTTATGCCAGCTATTGCAACCTGTCAGAAAACTTAAGCAGGCCCTCACACCAATAAATAAGAAAACCATTCCCTCCTGGAGTGTAATTTCCCCCACCGGCATCTGAGGGAGGGTGCTCCAACGCGCATCCCCCACTTGCTCTGATCACAGCTCATCATGTTCCTTTGTCAAATCTTCACCATAGTTGGTGGCCTGGCTCCCCACAAACATGTTCCAATTGTCCAATATCTCTTGCTTGGTTATTTCATCTAAGTTATTAATAAAGATGTCAAACAGAACTGGGCCCAGGATGGAACCCTGCGGCACTCCACTCATCACTTCTTTCCAAGATGAAGAGGAAGCATTGGTGAGCACCCTCTGGGTTCGTTCACTTAACCAATAACAGATCCACCTAACTGTAGTTTTGCCTAGTCCACATTTGACTAATTTGTATGCCAGAAAGTCATGGAGGGCCTTGTCATATCCAGCAGCGGTATACCATGAGGGTTCCTTTACAGCATGGAAAGTCATAGGATACATCTACACTGTAGAATTAATGCAGTTTGACACCACTTAAACTGGCATAGCTCAATGCCATGTATGGAATCATAGGATTTGTAATTTGGTGAGACACCAGCCCTCTTTGGCAGGGATTACTAAAGACCTTGTAAAATTGCAGTGCCCATAATTCTATAGCATTGACCCATGGCAGTTCAAGTGGTATCACACTGCATTAATTCTGCACTGTAGATGCACACTTGGAAGCAGTGGGTGTCTGGTGGGAGGTGGAGATTAAAATCTGTACTAGACCACCTAACTAAGCAAGGTACACACCACACGTTCTCACCGCTTTCAAGACCTACGACACCTTTTTCTGGCAGAACCAGAATGCCACATCCTGAGCACGTGAGTTGAAATTCACCACAAGTGTTTGTGGACAGAGAGCTAAAGCAAAAAGAGAACTGAACACCTTTAAGCTCCTGGAGGCCTTGCACATTATACAGGCAGTCCCAGAATGACAAACATCCGATTTACAAACAACTCCTAGTGAAAAACAGCAAGCAACAGGAAGTGAGAGAAATCTACCCTTCAGAAGGGGAATTTACTCCTGAAAGAGTTATCATGGGGGAAAGGAGTCGCCACTGAAGCTTTATCACCAACCTTTGTTTCCACCACAAGCCAATTTTTTCAACATCCAATTCTCACAGGGACAGAAAGTGAGGCGAAATCTTCTAAACAGAGGCACAGACAGCAATACAAAGGGGTGTTAACCCTTCCCTATGCTATCCAAAGCTAAAAGACAGATAGACAGATAGATATATATGGCTGGAGTTACACTTAAAAATGTACGTGTTCCAGCTTACATACAAATTCAACTTAAGAACAAACATACAGAACCTGTCTTCTTGTAACTTGGGGACTGCCTGTACTCCCAGGGTGTAGAACAGAAATCTCATTGAATGTAGAACAGAAATCAACATGACAATGATCCAGCCCTCCAATTTAGCCCTGTACCCTATCAATGTGCTGATGTAGTTTTTGTGCTATGGCTCCATGCAACATCCTATGGAATCCAGGGATCTGTAGTATTATGTAAATAAGGTCCATATGACACATCAATGAATTTTGTGTTTAGACTTGGGTTCCACCTCTAAGATTTTCCATTATGTCTATGTGTGTGTATGTACGTGTGTGTGTGTGTATCTCTAATTCCAAAATCAGAAAAAAGTGGAAAATATGGAACATTTCTGGTCCTAAGCATTTGTGTTACTTCTGTGAATTCTCTTGCTCTTTCCATAGTGTTAGTTAAACACTTTGGGTCTCTCTCCAGAGAGAAAAATGGGACGATTATGATGATAATGATAATACATTATGCCATAAATACCATCTGCCTGTGACAAAAAACTGGTGGGATCACAAGTCTGAAAAAGTTACAGAAAATGAACATGTCAAACTACTCTGGGAAACTCATAAATAAATAAATAAATAAATTCAGACTGAATGAGTTTTGGAGCACAATACTCCTGACCCCACAATCATGGGAAGAAAAACAAAGTATGGATCATTGATATTGCAATCCCAGGTGACGGCAGAATTGATGAGAAACAACTGGAAAAGCTTACACAATACGAGGATTTAATGATTGAACTGCAAAGGCTCTAACACAAGCCAGTCAAGGTGGTCTCAGTGGTGATTGGCACACCGGGTGCAGTGCCTAAAGACCTTGGTCAGCACTTAAAAACAATCAGTGCTGACAAAATCACCATCTGTCATCTGCAAAAGGCCACCCTACTTGGATCTGCATGCATTATCCGCCGATACATCACATAGTCCTAGACACTTGGGAAGTGTCCAACGTCTGATCTAATACAAAAGCCAGCATAATGATCTTGTTTGCTGTGTACTAATCTTGTGTATCAAATAATAATAATAATAATAATAATAATAATAATAATAATAATAATAATAATGAGTTTTGTGAGTTTTCCAGGTTGTATGGCCATGTTCCAGAGGCATTCTTTCCTGACATTTCGCCTGCAACTATGGCAGGCATCCTCAGAAGTTCTGAGACCTCACAACCGCTGAGGATGCCTGCCATAGTTGCAGGTGAAATGTCAGGAGAGAATGCTTCTGGAACATGGCCATCCAGCCCGGAAAACTCACAAAAACCCAGTGATTCCAGTCATGAAAGCCTTCGACAAGATGATGATGATGATGATAATAGACATGTAAAGTTCTCAGTTGGAGAGCTCTACCCCTCACCAAAGTACAAGCAGTGCAGGCCTGAAATACTTCGGGATGAGTGTTTACACCAAGGGAGAAACAGCTAAAAATAAAATAGGTGCTTATCATCTGATGCTTTTACAGCAGCCAATGGCCTATATAAAAACAGTAAATAAAACACAGTACTAACTGTACTTCTCAATGGTTTGATTTATATCCTACTTTTCCCCCAAAGAACGGGAGAGTCAACATGGCTCTCAATAAAATTAAGGCCAGGAAATTGCAATTAATATAAAATGAGTACTAGGAAATAAAACAAGACATTAACAGAGTTTTAAACACACCAACAGAAGAAAATAAAGCATCCTTCCAGTTAGAAGCCTCTTTCTGAGAACGCTTTGCCAGTTGCCAAAGGCCTGCCGAAAGGAGAAAAGTCTTTGCCTGCCAATAGGAAGACAACAGGGAGGAAGCCAGCCAAACCTCCTTTCATAAGGAGCTCCAGAATCTGGGAGCGGCTGCCGAAAAAAACCAGAAAAGACAAAGAATGCTTCCAGATGAAGCTGTTAATGTGCCCAGCTTCATTCGCAGGATATTACAGGGCAAGGGTGTCTTTCATTTTCCATCACGTCTTTCACTTTGAAATTTTAAAAAACTCACAGCAAACCCATTACAGAGGGAAATAAAGGATGGATATACTAGTTTTCTTCTGAGTTGCTGTAAGTTTTCCGGGCTATATGGCCATGCTCCAGAAGCATTCTCTCCTGACATTTCACCTACATCAATGGCAGGCATCCTCAGAGGTTGTGAGGTCTGTTGGAAACTAGGAAAGTGGGGTTTATACATCTGTGAAATGTCCAGGGTGAGAGAAAGAACTCTTGTCTGTTTGAGGTAGGTGTGAATGTTGCAATTGGTCATCTTGATTAGCATCGAATGGCCTTGTAGTTTCAAGGTCTGGCTTCTTACTGCCTGAAGGTATTTCTTTGATTTCTTTACATTTTTGGGTGGCTTCTCAGATGTAATCCTTTGCAGTAGAAAAGTCTTTTCAACAAGTGAGAGATTTGCTGTGCATTCCCTTCTCCTATAATCTCTAAATGCTTCTAAGTTGGTTTTAAATCAATGCTAACTTGAACTGGATAGCTTAATTAATAATTTAGTACATTCAATTGATTTTTAAGTTTTGCATCATCAGATTACTAATTTTGTGACAAACTGCCTTGGGTTCCTTGTTGGATATAAATTGAACAAATACATAATTTTAACATTATTTTTGGTATAATTGTCTTTTAAGTCATATTTCATTTTCATCTATCTCAATGTTTCTTAACCTTCCTAATGCCACATGTTGTGGTGACACCCAACCATAAAATTATTTTTGTTACTACTTCATAACTGTAATTTTGCTACTATTATGAATCATGATGTAAATATCCGATATGCAAGGTATATTTTCATTCACTATACCAAATTTGGCACAAATACCCAATACACCTGAATTTGAATAGTGGTGGGGTTTTTGGGGGGGGGGGTTGATTTTGTAATTTGAGAGTTGCAGTTGCTGGGATTTATAGTTCTCCTACAATCAAGAGCATTCTGAACTGCAACAACATTGGAATTGAACCAGACTTGGCACACAGAACTCTCATGACCAACAGAAAATACTAGAAGGGTTTGTGGGCATTGACCTTGAGTTTTGGAGTTGTAGTTCACTTACATCCAGAGAGCACTGTGGACTCAAATAATGATGGATCTGGACCAAACCTGGCACAAATACTCAATATGCCCAAATGAGAACACTAGTGGAGTTTGGGGAAAATAGACCTTGTCATTTGGGAGTTGTAGTTCACCTACAATCAAAGAGCATTCTGAACCCCACTAGTAATAGAATTGGGCCAAACTTCCCACACAGAACTCCCATGACCAACAGAAAATACTGTGTTTTTTATGGTCTTTGGTGGCTCCTCTGACACCCCCTCTCGACCCCCTCCCATGGGTCCTGACTCCCAGGTTGAGAAAGGCTGATCTATGCGAGCCATCTTGCATCCCATGATGAAAGAAATTGGGATAACATAGACAAACATACATACATACATAACTCTATGTTAGTTCCCATCAGAAGTTGTTGATTTCAACAGGGTCCACTAACATCCACACATCTCCCATTTCCACAGTGTGTACAGAAACACATACCCGGTAGATACGAGGGTCACACTAATTTATTGTGTCATGGTCTGCAAAGCCGGCAGCCATCTGCTCAAGTCTTACCTGATGGCCCTCACCAGCTCATGGAAAGATTCGTCCACATTGAGGCGGAGTTTCGCGGAAGCTTCCATGTACGGGATCCGATTCTCCCGGGCAAAGCTGAGGGCTTCTTCTTTGGACACCTGTCAACATTTGAGAAGAAGAAGCTTGAGCATCCATGGAGACAGGATTGTAGGATGGGGAGAATGGCTAAAGAAAATGGGAGTCAGTATTGGACAGCCTATTGAATAGTGTCCCAATTGAATCTACTGTTCTTGTGGGCTTTCATATTGATTTACAATAATAATAAGAATACTTTATTTATATTCGTCCCTATCTCCCCAAGGGGACTGAGAGCAGATTACAGCATATATACAAACACAAACATAGGCAAAAATTCAATGCCTTGATATAATTAGACAGAAATTAACAGACAAAGGCAAAGACTTCCTCTTTTATCCGGCTTCTGGAGGCGGTGATCAACTCCATTTCCAAGCCTGCATTGTCCGTAGACACCTCCTGGTCATGTGGCTGGCATGATTGCTTGGAGCACCTGCTTCCCTTCCCACCGAGGTGGTACCTATTGATCTACTCACATTTGCATGTTTTCAAACTGCTAGGTTGGCAGGAGCTAGGGCTAACAGTGGGAGCTTGCCCCAACCCGTCAATTTGAACTGCCAACCTTCAGGTCAGCAGTTCAGCAGTACAAGGGTTTAACCCATTGTGCCACCACAGCCACTTATGGCAACTCTATCACAGGGTTTTCTCTGCAAGATTTATTTGGAGGTTTGCCATTGTCTTCTTGGGCTGAGAAAGTGTGTCCCGCCCAAGGGCATCCAGTGGGATTCATGAGCTCGGATCCAAATTCTGCTCTCTGGAGTCTAACCCAATGTTCAAACCATTATACCAAGACTTTTGGGAGTTTGAATCCAAATATATCAGGAACTCAGGTTTGGAAAAATCTACTTTAAAAACAAATAATTCAGACACTGTGCTTCCAAAATATTATTTCAACTCAAAGCCAAATGGATTACTTGATTACTTGGACATACTAACTAAAAGCTGGTCACTCTTTTTCAGATTGCAGCTCCCCAATCCTCCTTACTTCACGTGATTCTGGGAGCTGTGGTACAAAAGTAACTTTCCAAACCTCTGAATGAAATGCAACAGACATTTCTTTGCTTTAGCTAATACCCTGCGGCAAGTTTATTGGTTCTGTTTGGACCAACCCACCTAAGATGAACTAATGAGTTGCTGAGCAAGAGCTTGCTAGTAGGACTGACATCAATAGCGCATTACAAGCCAAAACACCATACGATGTGGAGACTTAGTGTCGCAATGACATTCTGCAGCCCCTCACCTGCCGATGAAGATCCAAGTCAGCCTTGTTGCCCACGAGGATCATGGGGAACTCATCACGGTCTTTCACTCGAAGTATCTGAGTGTGGAACTTGTTGATCTCGATGAAACTAGGGTTGGAAAAGAAAGGAAACAGATGGAAGCTGCTTGGCAAGAGATACTGCAGCAGGGCAATTCTTTGAAGAGGGAGGAGAAAACATCTAGGGACAGACAAACTTCTATATCCAAAAATAGGGGTGGGAAACTTTAGGGCTTCAGATCTTATGGACTTCAGTCCCCAGAAGCCCCAGAGAAATAAGAGCTGTGGGAATTGTAAGCCAAATCATCTGGAGGCCAAAGATTTCTTAACCCTGTCCTAAAATTTAATGGGGTGTTATATCAGAAATAGCCTTTCCCTCTCCAATCCCCACTTTCTCCCCTATGTTTTGGTGAAGGTTACGTTCTCATTCAAGAAAGTGTTGGCTTTCTTGAAGGATGCCCAGGGAACAACGGAACTATAGCACTAGTAATTCCTATGTTGTTTTTCTAATCCACATACAGTTACCTCTTAGCTCTTGCTCCATAAAAGGGGGGAATAATAATAATAATAATAATAATAATAATAATAATAATAATAATAATGCTGAGCAACCAGGGCATGGGCTTGTAGGGCAACTGCAAGCAAAAGAACAACAGAAAAGGCAGAAAACAGACTGACAAGAGTTTTGGATCACAATACTCCTGACCTGACAATTGTGTTAAAAATGGATCATAGATGTTGCAATCCCAGGCGATAGCAGGATTGAAGAGAAATAACTGGAAAAGCTGATACAATATGAGGATTTAAAGGTTAAACTGCAAAGACTTAAGGCACAAGCCAGTAAGGGTGGTCCCAGTGGTGATCGGCACACTGGGTGCAGTGCCTAAAGATCTTGGCCTGCACTTAAACACAATCAGCACTGACAAAATTACCATCTGTCAGCTGCAAAAGGCCACCCTACTGGGATCTGCACACATTATTCGCCAATACATCACACAGTTCTAGATACTTGGAAAGTGTCCGACGTGTGATCCAATCCAACAGCCAGCATAGTTATCTTGTTTGCTATGTACTAATCTTTATTTCTAGACTGCCCTCTCTCCCCAAGGGGACTCATGTAGAATCAGCCACAGCAACCGAAAACCATTTAAGGAGGACCACTGAGGATCAGTCTCCCTCAATATCCCATAAATCTTGGGATGTGCATTCTGATGTCCTTGCTAGAAGAAATCTTCTTGGTTGGGGAACCATGAATGATGCCAACTTGTGAGCTGGAATGTGGCTACTGAAGTGACAAAAATTTCCAAAACTGTAGGGGAACATATTGGCAAATGTAGGACAACGTTTTCTGAACATCAGCTTTCTTAATCTGTAAAATTTCTGTGGTCAGGTTGAACAACACAGAAGAGGCAGAAGAAAAGCAATGGCGGGTTTCCATGTGTACTGTGGAGTTCAGCTTTCAACCAGAAAAATGTGTCACCAACCTCTACAGTAAGAAGGCATGGACCTCAAAAAGGGAATACTGTGGCTTGTGGCCTTACCTGCCACGGTCGTTGATGGCATAGACCAGGAGAAAACCTTCCCCTGTGCGCATATACTGCTCTCGCATGGCCCCAAACTCCTCCTGCCCAGCAGTGTCCAGAACTGATGGAAAAAAGGAAACTCAATTAGATCTGACTCATTCTGAACATGATGGATGCAACACTGGGATTAATATAATTTAACAACATTAATGTAAGCAAATATCTTGCTAAAATGCCATCTGGCTCAGGTAAACCTCTGGTGGAAAGATCCCAGACAAACTTAATCGAGGAATTTCTCATAATGCCTTAAAATGATGCTACATCATGGGTATCATGTGAAATTAAAACAGCAGCTCCCAACTAGCACAGAACAGCCTGCCAATACAGGAGAGAAGATCTATGGAGACATAAACCATCACAAATAGATCCTATGGAGGCTACTGGGTTAATGATTTCTGGGTTATGTGATTTTAATGTTTATACTAGGATGATTTTATGCTTTGTCTGAATGTTTAAATTTTATGTATGTCTTATGTTTAATAGTTTCAATTATATTAAGTTCATAGTTATATGCAGTAATTAATTATAAATGATTTCTTTGTTGTACTGTATGTCGACATTGAATTTTTGCCATTAGCATGTTGTAAACCACCTTATAATATAATAATAGCTTTATTTTTGTACCCCACCTTGAGTCTCCCAGGGGTGAGAAAGGCGATATATTTATTATTTATTTATTTACAGCATTTATATTCCGCCCTTCTCACCCCGCAGGGGACTCAGGGCGGATTACAATGTACACATATATGGCAAACATTCAATGGCAATTAGACATACAACATATATAGACATACACAAAGGCTATTTAACTTTTTTCTGGCCTCCAGGGGAGCTGTCGCTTTCATTGTCCTTTTGCGACACTGATGAAGTACTTCCGCATTCCCCGCATGCTTTGCTGGAGTTCTTTTTGCTGGAGTCTTTTTATGGCCTCATAAATTAATTAGCCTCCCCCCACATAGGTGGTACCTAATTTTCATACTTGACAGATTCAACTGTCTTTCGGGTTGCAAAGGTCGACAACAAGCTACACAAAATTGGCCGGAAGCTCACTCCGACCCGGGCTGGCTTCGAACTCGTGACCTTCTGGTCAGAATGATCTTAATGCAGCTAACACTCAGCCAGCTGAACCACAATCCTGGTGCTAATATATAAATACAGTAAATAATAAGTAATAAATAATAAATAAATAACTAAAGAGTAGATCTGATGGGGTCAACTTGAAGCCTTGCAGATGCTTTTGGAGTGCAACTTCAATCATCTCTCACCAATGGCTATGGTAGCTAGGACCAAGTGAGACTTGCACTCCATATGAGGTATATCAACAAAGTATTCCCCCAGGCAGGAATCAGCCTGTTTTTGAAGCTGCAAGACCATTCAATGCTAATCAACGTGGCCAATTCCAACATTCACAATTGCCTCAAACAGACAAGAGTTCTGTCTCCCACCCTGGACATTCTACAGATATATAAACCTCACTTGGCTAGTTTCCAACAGACCTCAAAACCTCTGAGGATACCTGCCATAGATGTGGGCAAAAGTCAGGAGAGAATGCTTCTGCAACATAGCCATACGGATGAGAAAACTCACAGCAACACAGTGTCTCAATCTGTCTGCAACAATTCAAATGATGCCTTCAAAAATGATAATTTTGCTGTGATTTTTCTCCAAAAGAACCATCAGAAGTTATCTTGGTTCTCTCCCAAATACAAAATTTCCACATGGATGGGTGAAACAGTGATACCTTTCCTTTTAATATCCAACATACACAAACCTGGTTTTGTGCGCAAAATAATTAAAATAGAAACCCAAGATCCTCCAACTTGAACTTTAAAAAGAGTGCATCTGAACATGCGAATCATAGAATTTGATTTCACTATGTAACTGAATTGAGCTTCTAGTAATCCTTGGTTAGCTACATAGGTACAAACCACATAGATGTTTACTAGTAGATCCTGGCCTAATTTCTGACCAACCCTGGTTGATGGGATATTGCTCATTTCCTGGCGTATTTTATCTAGGTTCAGCCTCTGTCAACTTTCCCACACTATCTCTGATCGGCTGTTTTATTGCTGCTGTTATTTCTAAACAGGCAACCAACCACTTGTCCCACAAACAGGATGGCCCTCACCGCTAAAGGGAGGGCACCACAGAGCAGGAAAGCATAAAAATGCAAAACTGTGGTCAAGAGAGAACCTATTTTGTGATAGCGGGGAAGGATGTTATGCACCGCAACATGCTACGATCGCCTTCCACTAAGCTTCAGCCCACTTGTGCAGAACTTCTACACATGTCAACATAATGCCAGCCCATAGATACTCACTATCCAGACGCGTTGGGGTTCCATCGATGTTGCAGATTTTTGTATATGAGTCCTCAATTGTGGGGTCATAATCGGAGACAAAATATGACTGAAAAAAGAGGGAGGAGAAAAGGAAGTTAACGCTGATAGTAAGGCTGGGCGGTTTCGTTCGTTAATTTCGTAATTCGTTATTAATTCGTTATTTTTTTATAACGAAGCGATATTGAATCATTCAGGAGCAACTAAAAACGAAACGAATTTTTCCAATTCATTTCGTAATTATTTCGAAATTGTTTCGTAATTGTTTCGAAATTGTTTCGTTATTATTTCGTTATTATTTCCGTATGTCTGGTGCAAGTTTTATAGTCGTTGTTTGTTTTACCAGTGATAAAAAAAAATTATCACACCAACAGTCAACAACAGAGGGAGAGGGAAGCTTCAGAAGTTCCCCCTGTCCCATTTGGAGGGTTTTTTAGCGTATTGCGCAATCGCGTCCGCCATCAACGAATCGATTCGTTATTGTTTCGAAATTGTTTCGTAATTTACGAAATTTCGTAAATATCGAACTTTTTAAAAGAAAAATTTCGGAATTCTTTTAAATAATGAAACGTAAAAACCCCCTAAATACGAATCGAGTTTAGAAACAAATTTTTCTGTGGTTGGACAGCCCTAGCTGATAGCAAGAATTGTTATTCTGTGTAGCAAAAACAGGAAATCTAGACCCAAGTCTTAAAAGTATTCCCAATTAAAGTAGAACCATGGACTCAATGGAAACTACAGAAAGTGTTATTCAATATTATGTAAAAAAAAATTGAAAAAAAAATCTGTTCCTGGTTTGAACGTGTTATTTCTCATTTAATTGTGGAGCACTTACTTGGAAAGTAGTTGTTCTACTCCACAAAGTTCCTTTTTGTGACTGCCACAAACTATATTGAATTGGTTGAGACTTGCATGACATTTTCATTGAAACACTAGAGCAAAATGTGCTGCAGGATGTCCCGCAAAAATAAAGTGCTTGCAGTTTAAACTTTTTTTAAATAATAGAATCGATTAGGAAAGGGCATTTCGAATCCAGAAACAAAAGTTGTATTACATAGTGTAATGGCTTCAATAAGCCTACACTAGATGGAACTATCAACAACTTTTAAGCCTTATTCAACTCCCATTTTTGCTCATTGCCACAATAGTAATGGGGAAAATATTTCAGACTACAACTCCCATAATCCTCTGGCAGAAGGCCAAACTTTTCCAAGCTTTATCCATACAGTTTGCCACTCAGGGTGCATCTACAACAGGTATGGACAAACACAGGCCTGGAGGCCAGATGCAGCCCTTGGGCTCTTTTCTCAGGCCCTCTTCTCTCTCACTATCCTATCTTTCCTTCTTCCTTCCCTTCTTTCCTTCCTTTCTTCTTTCCATCATTCCATCCATCCATCCATCCATCCATCCATCCATCCATCCTTCCCTTCCACCCTTTCGTCCTTCCCTTCCTTTTGTCTTCCCTCCCTTCTCCATTTCCTTCCTTCTTATCTTTCTCCCTTTGTTCCCTCTTTTTCTTTCCATCCATCCCTTCCACTCTTTCATCCTTCCTTTCCTCTTTCCTCCCTCTCTCTCCTTCCTTCCCTTTTGTCTTTCTTTCTTTCCTTCTCTCTTTCTTTTTCCTTCCATTCTTCCCTTCCACCATTTCATCCTTCCTTCCCTCTTTCTTTCCTTCTCTTTAGCTTTTTCCTTCCATCCTTCTCTTCCACCATTTCATCTTTCCTTCCCTCTTTCCTCCCTCCTTACCTCTCTCCCTTTCCTTCCTCTTTATATTTCTTTCTTTCCTTCGCTCTTCCTTTTTCCTTCCATTCTTCCCTTCTACCATTTCATCCTTCCTTCCTTCTCTGTTTCCTCCCTCACTCTTTCTTCATTCTTTCTTTCCTTCTCCCTTTCTTTTTCCTTCCATCCTTCCCTTCCACCATTTTATCCTTCCTTCCTTCCTTCCCGTTTTTCTCCCTCCTTCCCTCTCTCCCTCTTTCTCCTTCCATCTTCCTTTCCTTCCTTTCACCCTTCCGTCCATCGCTCGGCAGCCAATCTTTCTAGCAGGGAATGCTAGCATGCAGCCTCCATGTTTGAAAGTTTGCCTATGCCTATCTACACTGTAAATTTCACGCAGTTTGACTCCAATTTATTTATTTATTTATTTATTTATTTATTTATTTATTTATTTGGAGTGCTTCTACCCCGCCCTTCTCAATCCCCTGGGGGGGACTCAGGGCGGCTTACAAAAGGCACAATTTGATGCCCAACAGTTCACTTAATACAATATACAAAATACAATATAACAACAACAGTTATAACTAATTAAAACAATTAAATTAATACAATAGCAGCAATAAATTTAACTTCTATGGTTCAATGCTATGGAATCATAGGACTTGTAGTCTGCTGAGACATCCGCACTCTTTGGCAAAGAAGGCAAAAGACCTTGTAAAGCTCCAGCCCCCATGATTCCATAGCATTGCGCCGTGGTGGTGAAAGTGGTGCGAAATCATATTCATTCTACAGTGTAGATGCACCCTTGATCAAACAAACTGTGGGATATGCTTCTTCTCTTTCTGGGCGATGGAAAGTACAATAATGGGATCTGAAGTAAAACAATAAATGATAACTTCCTCCAAAAGTCAAACTGCAGAGTTCCCAAAACTGAGGAACTGATGGTGTTTGCCGAAAAACATTATTTCCTTGGTGAGTAAAACATTAACAACAAGAAGTAACTCGCAAACGGTCTTCTGCTCTTCCGAGACACCTTGAAGCAGCAGAGGAAAACAGATGCCATTGGATCATCCCAAATTTCCTTATATACAGTCAGAACATTGGTATCTCCAGACCCATTCTGCAAGTCAGGACTTGAAGTGGCTCTCGAGGGCAAGGGCGGAAAGCTACAACTGTCTAGATCAGGTATGGGCAAATTTGGCCCTCCAGGTATTTTGGACTTCAACTCCCACAATTCCTAACAGCCTCAGGCACCTTCCTTTACCCCCTCAGCCGCTTAAGCGGCTGAGGGGGAAAAGGAAAGGGCCTGAGGCTGTTAGGAATTGTGGGAGGTGAAGTCCAAAACACCTGGAGGGCCAAATTTGCCCATACCTGATCTAGGTATTATTTGTACTCCAGCTTCACTCAATCCTAGGATTATGTGACCAATGGTCCAAGGGGACGGCTAACCAATACCTGGAGGAGCATGTCTGCCTCCGAATCTCAAGTTGGGGGCCATCGGTGTTGGGGGCCAACAGTGTTTTTAAACTATTGCAAAGAAATGCCACCTAGGTTATTGCGAGTTTTCTGGGCTGTATGGCCATGTACCAGAAACATTCTCTCCTGACGTTTCGCCTGCATCTAGGGTAGGCAGAGGTTGTGAGATCTGTTGGAAACTAGGAAAATTGGGTTTATATATCTGTGGAATGTAGTGCGAATGTTTCAATTGGCCACCTTGATTAGCATGTAATGGCCTAGCAGTTTCAAGGTCTGGTTTCTTACTGCCTAGGGGAATACTTTGTTGGAAGGTGATTAGCTGATTGTTTCTTGTCTGGAATTCCCCTTTTTGAACACTTGGAGGGCACAAGTTTCCCCATGGCTATAAGGGCGAGAGATCTTACAAAAAGTACCACTTATAGGGGCCATTTATCTCAGGGTATGATCCCATATTATCTGCTTTAAACTGGAATATATGAGTCCTTACTCGTTGCCAGACAACCTAGGATAAACAGGTAATCTGGGATCAGATCCTGGGATAGTGGGGAAATGTGGAAGGGCCATAGAATTCCATAACGTTGAGCCATGGCAGTTAAGTTGGCACTAGCAGTATTAAATCTGCACTGAGCTGCTGAGCTTGTTGACCAAAAGGTCGCAGGTTCGAATCCAGGGAGCGGTGTGAGTTTATGCTGTCAGCCCCAGCTTCTGCCAACCTAGCAGTTCAAAAACATGCAAATGTGAATAGATCAATAGGTACTGCTCTGGCGGGAAGGTAACAGTGCTCCATGCAGTCATGCCGGCCACATGGCCTTGGAGGTGTCTATGGACAACGCCGGCTCTTCGGCTAAAAAATGGAGATGAGCACCAGAGTCGGACACGACTGGACTTAATGTTAGGGGAAAAGCTTTACCTTTACCTAGCACCTCCCGACAAAGGATTCCCCGAGGCAGTAAGAAGCCAGATCTTGAACTGCTTGGCCATTAAATGCTAATTAAGGTGGCCAACTGAAACATTCACACCTATCTCAAACAGATGAGAGTACTTTCTCCCATCCTGGACATTTTGCAGATATATAAACCCTAGTTTCCAACAGATCTCACAACCTCTGAGGATGCCTGCAATAGATGCAGGCGAAACATCAGGAGAGAATGCTTCTGGAACATGGCCATACAGCCCTGGAAAACTCACAACAACCCAGTGAATCCAGCCATGAAAGCCTTCAACAATACAATGCCACCTAGGCTCTGCATTCTGTTTCCAAAAGGGAACCATCGGGCACCTCTGAAAAGCTCAGGACTGAAATAGGAGATTCTAAATTTGGGATAATCTGATCACCGTCCTTGTTGTTCTCTTGCTCTTTCTGGCCACTCCTTGGTTCCTGCCTTTCTCTGCTCCCTTTGACTCCTACCTTTGCAAAGGGCTCCAAGCCAAATGATTCCCCACACCACCCAGCTTCCAACAAGGAGGATCACAGCCCGGAAAGGGATGGCCTTGGGGTTTGAGAAAATCCATTCTGGAGCATTAATTCCCAACCGCCTCTCTCCTGCATCTAGGAAGAGGATGCCAACAAGATCGCTGCCTCGGCCTCTCCCCACTGTTTATGGCGGGGATTTGCAAAAAAGGGCGGCTGCAAAGAGGGAAAGAAAAAACACAGACCTTACCACATGCCTTGATCCTAGGCACAGATTCCCCTGGGGGGGGGGGGGGGGGAGAGCATGTTCCTCGAGGCTTAGGGTATGCTGCAGAATTAATGCAGTTTGATGCCATTTTAACAGCCATGGCCCAATGTTACTGGAATCACAAGAGCCGTAGATTTAAAAACTCTTTTGCCTTCTCTGAGTGCATCTGCGCTGTAGAAGGAATGCACTTTGACATCACTTTAAGTGCCCTTCCACACAGCTGAATAAAATCCCACATATTCTGCTTTAAACTGGAATATATGGTAGTGTGGACTCAAGATAATCCAGTTCAAAGCAGATATTGTGGGATTTTCTGCCTTGATATTCTGAGTTATGTGTCTGTGGTGAAGGGCCCTAAGGCCCCATCTACACTGCCATATAAAATCCGGATTATCTGTTTTGAACTGGATTATATGGCAGTGTAGACTCATATAATCCAGTTCATAGTGTTATTAAATGCTTGTTGATCTGGATTATATGTCAGTGTAGATCCAACTTAACTCAGGGCCCTTCCAGACAGGCCCTATATCCCAGATTATCTGGTAGTGTGGATTCATATAACCCATCTTAAAGCAGGAAACCTGGGATCACATCCTGGGATATAGGCCTGTCTGGAAGGGTCCTCACATGGCTCTATGTCATGGAATCATGAGAGCTGTGGTTTCACAAGGTCTTCACCCTTCTCTGGGGGGGGGGCATTACTGCAGTTTGACACCACTCTGCGCAGTGCTAGGCACTCCATAGAGTTGTCATTGGGTGAAGCACCAGCACTCTTTGGCAAGGAAGGCTCAAGACCTTGTGAAACTACAACTCCCATTATTCCAAAACATTTGAAGATGTGTCAAAGTGCGTTACTTCTACACTGTGGATGCAGCCTGATGTCACTCTAACTACCACGGCTCAAAGTGATGGAATCACAAGAGTTATAGTTCAACAAGGTGTTGAGCTGAAAACTACAACTCCCAGGCTTTCATATTGAGCCAGGGCAGTTAAAACCACAGCCAACCTGCATTTTGATCCAACTTCTGAGGTATCCGGGCTCAATGGCTAATGGGATCTTGGGAGCTGTAGTTCCACAAGGTTTTGAGCATTCTCTGCCAGAGTGCTCCTGCCTTGTCAAACAACTACAACTCTCTACGGGTGGATCTACACTGCCATATAGCCCAGATTATCAAAGCAGATAATCCACACTATCCGCTTTGAACTGAATTATATGAGCCTGCACTCTCATATAATCCAGTTCAAAGCAGATAATGAAAGTGCATTTATTCCACACTTTCCAACACAGGCATGGGCAAACTTGGGCCCTCCAGGTGTTTCCCACAATTCCTAACAGCCTCAGGCCCTTTCCTTTTCCACGCAGCCCTATATCCCAGAATATCAAGGCAGACAACCCCACAATACCTGCTTTGAACTAAGTTATCCGAGTCCACACTGCCATATATTCCAGTTCAAAGCAGATAATGTGAGATTTTCTGCCTTGATATTCTGGGATATAGGGCTGTGTGGAAGGGCCCTGAGATCACATCTTGGGATACAGGGGAGGTGTGGAAGGGCCCAAGGATTGTCGAAGGCTTTCATGGCCAGAATCATTGGTTTGCCTGCCATAGATGCAGGCGAAACGTCACGAGATAATGCTTCTAGAACATGGCCATACAGCCCAGACAACTCACAGCAACCCAATTCAACATAATTTTGTGGCAGCCACAAAAAAACGAAGTTTCTGGAGTAGAACAATTACTTTCAACAATGGGTTGTTGTGAGTTTTCCGGGCTGTATGGCCATGTTCCCATAGCATTCTCTCCTGATATTTTGCCTGCATCTATGGCAGGCATCCTCAGAGGTTGTGAGATGTGTGTAATATCTAGGGTGGGAGAAAGAACTCTTGTCTGTTTGAGGCAAGTGTGAATGCTGCAACTGGCCACCTTGATTAGCATTGAATGGCCTTGCAATTTCAAAGTCTGCCTTCTTACTGCCTGGGGGAATCCTTTGTTGAGAGGTGATTAGCCGGCCCTGATTGTTTCTTGTCAGGAATTCATGGCCGAAATCACTGGGTTGCTGCGAGTTTTCCAGGCTGTATGGCCATGTTCCAGAAGCATTCTCTCCTGACATTTTGCCTGCATCTATGGCAGGCAGCCTCAGAGGTTTTGAGGTCTGTTGGAAATTAGGCAAGTGGGGTTTATATACCTGTGGAATATCCAGGGTGGGAGAAAGAACTCTTCTCTGTTTGAGGCAAGTGTGAATGTTGCAACTGGCCACCTTGATTAGCATTGAATGGCCTTGCAGTTTCAAAGTCTGGCTTCTTACTGCCCGGGGAATCCTTTGTTGGGAGGTGCTAGTGCCAATTTAACTGCCATGACTCAATGTTATATATGGAATCCTAAGGCCGGGTTGTTGTAGGTTTTTCGGGCTATATGGCCATGTTCCAGAAGCATTCGCTCCTGACATTTTGCCCGCATCTATCGCAGGCAGCCTCAGAGGTTTTGAGGTCGGTTGGAAACTAGGCAAGTGGGATTTATATACCCGTGGAATGCTTGATGCAAGTGTGAATGTTGCAACTGGCCACCTTGATTAGCACTGAATAGCCTTGCAGCTTCAAAGTGTGGCTTCTTGCTGCCTAGGGGAATCTTTTGTGAGACCTCCCAACTTCTGAGGATGGCTTCCATGGATGTGGGCGACACGTTGGGAGAAAATGCTTCTTTAAGGTGACCATACAGCCCGGAAAACTCACAGCAACGCAAAAGAAACTGTATTCCTCCAGGACAAATCAGCTTTTCCCCAAGTTCTACAACTTAAGATATGTTGGGAAAGTTTCCTCCAAGTTTCCCCCCCTGGACACGCCCCGGAAAAGGGGGCACCGTGGGCTTTGTGCACCCCAATCCCTGCCGGGGGGGGGGGCTTACCTGGATGAACTGGATGGTGAGGGCGCTTTTGCCCACGCCGCCTCCGCCGACCACCACCAACTTGTACTTCTCCTGCGGCGCCGCGCCTTCGTTGGGATTCATGACGGTTTGGGAGGCGCCCCACAGCAAAAGTCAACAAAGCCGAGCTTCTCAAAAAGCCCAGCGCCCCGCCGCCGCCATGCCCCACTTGTTGGCTCCTCGGCCCCCCAAAAAGATGGCTGAGAGCGGGCCTGGAGAGGGAGAAGAGGGCTCGCCCCTTGCAGAAAGCCAAGCGCGGCGCCTCCTTGCTCTCCTCCTCCTCCTCCTCCTTCCCGGCTGCTGCTGCTCCGCTTCCCTATTTGGCCAGCCGGAGCCACTCCGGGGCGGGTCCCACGTCCGGAACCCCAAACAACACTCCTCCCCTTCTTGGGATCTGTAGTATGGACCCGCCCCGTCGCTGGCAAGGAGAGGAGGAAGCCAGGCTCCTGCTCAACCTGGATCTCCACTGCCCTAGAGAGCCAGGCTCTCTTAGGGAACAACATTTGAAAATTTCTCTGTCCCTGGCTTGAAAGTGTTCATCCCGTTCTACTCCAGAAACTTTGGCTGCTACAAAACTACGTTGAAGAGAGATGTTGACAATCTGGAATGTGTCCTGAGGAGGGGGACTAAAATGATAAAGAGAACAAGCCCTATGAGGAGCGGCTTAAAGAGCTGGCCATGTTTATCCTGCAGAAGAGAAGGCTGAGAGGAGACATGATAGCCATGTATAAACATGTCAGAGAGAAGTCATAGGGAGGAGAGAACAAGCACAATCATAGAATCAAAGTTGGAAGAGACCTCATGGGCCATCCAGTCCAACCCCCTGCCAAGAAGCAGGAATATTGCATTCAAATCACCCCTGACAGATGGCCATCCAGCCCTTGTTTAAAAGCTTCCAAAGAAGGAGCCTCCACCACACTCCGGGGCAGAGAGTTCCAATGCTGAACAGCTCTCACAGTCAGGAAGTTCTTCCTCGTGTTCAGATGGAATCTCCTCTCTTGTAGTTTGAACCACTATGTCAGACTACACAGAGAAGCCATTGAAATCCACAAGCATGAGGACAACTTCAACAGAAAGGAGGAAACCATGAAAATTAACAAAATCTGGCTACCAGTCTTAAAAAACTCTAAAATTACAACAGCACAACAACAGAGAGGAAACAAACAAGGACATCTAATCCCCTCTCAACAAAAGTTTGCTCTAGGCACTGTCAGGCCATTATATACTAATCAAGGTGGTCAGTTGAAACATTCACACCTAGCTCCAGCAGACAAGAGTCCTTTGTCCCACCCTGGTCATTCCACAGATATATAAACCTCACTACCTCTGAGGATGCTTGCCATAGATGAAGGCAAAACATCAGGAGAGAATGCCTCTAGACCAGTGGTTCTCAACCTGGGGTCCCCAGATGTTTTTAGCCTTCAATTCCCAGAAATCCTAACAGCTGGTAAACTGGCTGGGATTTCTGAAGTTGTGGGCCAAAAACATCTGGGGACCCCAGGTTGAGAACCACTGCTCTAGACCATGACCATATAGCCCCAAAAAACCTACAACAACCCAGAGCAAGCTTGTGTTTTGCTTCCCTGGAGACTAGGACGCGGAACAATGGCTTCAAACTACAGGAAAGGAGATTCTACTTGAACTATAAGAACTTCCTAACTGTGAGAGCTGTTCAGCAGTGGGACTCTCTGCCCCGAGTGTGGTAGAGGCTCCTTCTTTGGAGGCTTTTAAGCAGAGGCTGGATTGCCATCTGTCAGGAGTGCTTTGAATGCGATTTTCCTGCTTCTGGTAGGGGGTTGGACTGGATGGCCCATGAGGTCTCTTCCAACTCTATGATTCTATGAATTAGTTGAGATACTAATTTGAAAATCTATAGCTAAATGTGCTGCAGGATGTTCTGTGAAAACTATTTAATAAACTGGGTTGCTGTGAGTTTTCCAGGCTGTATGGCCATATTCCAGAAGCATTCTCTCCTGACATTTTGCCCACCCCTATGGCAGGCATCCTCAGAGGTTTGTCCCCTAAATCACTGTCAAAGGAACCATAAGAGCTGTGGTTTTACAAGATCTCTAACCTTCGGGCTGTTGTAGGTTTTTCGGGCTGTATGGTCATGTTCTAGAAGTATTCTCTCCTGACATTTCACCTGCATCTATGGCAGGCATCCTCAGAGGTTGTGAGGTCTGTTGGAAACTAGGAAAATTGGGTTTATATCTCTGTGGAAAGTCCAGTTTAACCTTCTCTGTCAAAGACTGCTAAAGCCTTGCCAAACTACAAATCCCATGATTATACAGCACTGAACCATGTCAGTTCAAGTGGGATCAAGCTACGATAATTCTTGAGTTTAGATGAATCCTAAATTCCCATCTACACTGCTAATTTAATGCAGTTTCAAACTGGTGTTGAAGAAAATCATTTTGCTGTGCAGATGATTACATAGGAAATCCTGGAATCAGTTTCAGGCTTGGATGGTGATTACACAAACCAGAGAGCACTGATGTGCATTTAGGGCTTCCTTTGTTATGTTTTTGTGGGTGTTTGTTATCTAGTTGTGGAATTAGAAGTGAGCTTTGAATTGTATTAAATGGTCAGTGTAGATGGGGCCTATGTTTGTACCTTCCCTTCCTGAAGGAAGGGATTAAAACACACAGAGAGATGAGAATCTGTATAATCTCAGTTTGGGACTTCCAGGAAAGAACGAAGCCTGTGGCTGGGAGTTAATAACTAGTTGCTCCCAAGAAGAGAGGGCGGGTTCCCTTCTGGTGGTGGTGTCTTGCTCTTTTCTAGAGGGACATTTGGTTGCTTCAGGCTAAAATCTGGGTTGAGTTAAAATCACCAGGATTAAGAGTGAGGGAGGTGCATCTACACTGTGGAATTAATACAGTCTGACACCACTTTAACTGCCATGAGTGAGTAGTATGGAGTCCTGGGGGTTGTAGCATGGTGAGACACCAGCGCTCTTTTGCAAAGAAAGCTAAAGACGCAGGCCTGGCATCGAGCTGGAATTTAGAGGCTCCCACCCAGGAGAGAGGAGCCCTTAGATCCACCAAGGAGGATCCGGTACTCTGGCGAACGAAGAGAAAAGAGCCAAAGAATTTCCCTGATTTTTCCCAAATAAATCTCACCAAAGTTGAAGAAAAGCCACCGAGTTGTATTTCTTTCATCCAGCTGGTACAGACGTCAAACTGTGATAGTTCGTCAGGAGAGACATACATGCAATTAATTTTAGTACATTTTTATAGAAAAACAGAGCTGTCAACATTCAAATCCCCCCCCCCCCCACAGCCAGTATTTCCCTGGTTGGCTGTGGTCATCAGCTGGTAGGGAGGTGTGGCCAGTTTAGTCGCACCTCAGCCAATCAGAAAGCCAGCACCGCTTCGGGCTCTCAGTCAATGGGAGCAAAGAAGGCAGTTCTTGGGAAGAACAATGAAGTAAATGTCCAGATGATTGAATAAGAATGACTTGATGTGTCCAAATGGCCGGCGATAAATCTAAGAATAGATTCCTCAAGTTGTTCGGGTCTTTTGAAAGGTTGAGATATGCAGATATGGCTGGCACGATCATTCAGCTCTGGTATTTCCTTGTCACGAATATGGGTTCATTGTGTTATCTTATGTTTTCCTCGGTCCATGGGGAAATGAAAAAAGGGAGGAAAGCTGGGACATCCTGGCTTCCTTGGAAAGCAGGATGCCTCTTTGTTGGAAGATGACTAGTTCACCAGGGGGCTCCTCCCAAGCGGTCCTGCTCCTAGACTCGAGTGGGCCGGCTTATTGTCATGCAATCAGTCTTTGCTTAAAACCTTGAATCAATAGGGATATGCCTTGGGAAATGAGCTACCCAAGGCTGATGTCATGCTGGAGGTCACGAAAAGGTGGCTTCCTATATTTCATACACAGACATACACACAGGGGTCAGGGAGATACATAAGGAATAATGAAGCATAAGAGGATTTCATATACACCCATCCCACCCACCAGAGTCCAAAATAATAAGTTCATAAGCACGAAGTCATATCATCCCTCAATCATGAGAAGGGAGTCCATAGGGCTTGGGGAAAAGTTCCATAAAGTTTTCAAAAGTCCTTTAAAGTTTGAGAAAGTTGTTCAAAGTTGTAAAATCCAGAAAAGGCAAGTGAGGAAAAGTGTTCCAGTATTCATAGAGTCCTTATGGCCATCCACCAACTCTGAAGATCGAGATCCATGGAGAGAACTACAGATCCCGCCACACCAAGGACCAAGGCAGCCCGCCGACATCTTAGGGATCCCATGGGTTGACCGCGACAGTTTCCCAGGATCAACAGGCTCCTTGGATATCCACAAAATGATGGCAGCGAGGCGACGTCTTTAGAAAAACAGCTGGACTCCAGGTTGGGGCTGGTGGGGGGGCAAAAAAAGGCTATTCCTGTTGCGGAAGGGGCAGTGGAGCGAAACCGAGATAGCCATTAGTCTTAGAATTCTCCCAGGAGAAGATTGACACCATTTTTGAAGCGATCCGTTGACTCGTGGATACGAGGGCCCTAGGGGTTTCCGTATCCGCGGTTTAAGGGAATGCAGTTTTGGCCTCCCCAGGATGCAAAAATCGCATCCCAGGAGGGCCGGCAGCCATCTGCAGCTCGGGAGAATAAAGGTTTATTGGAAGAGAAGTTTGAGGCAGTAAAGAGACACAAAGTAGCACTATGGAGAGGAGAAAGGTTACAATTAATTGATACTTTTTATTGGGGGGATTAGTTACAATGTTAGGAAGGAGAAACAGCAAAGAAATGAGTAGGCTTCTGAGTTGCAGCTGTTGCTGTGCTCACATTCATGGGGTTGGCCCAAGAGGGGCAATGGAGAACTGAGGAACTCCCTGCTGAGGGTCAGATCAACTTGAAGGCAGGGAGTTCCGTGTTCGGCCTCAGGCCCCTTCCACACAGCGGTATAAAATCCACATTGAACTGGATTATATGACAGTGTGGACTCAGATAACCCAGTTCAAAGCAGATATTACGGGTTATCTGCCTTGATATTCTGGGTTATATGGCTGTGTGGAAGGACCCTTGATGAAACCACAATTCCCGTGATTTCATAACATAGAGATCTGAAGTTAAAGTGGTATCAAACTCCATTAATTCTACAGTATAGATGTGCTTTAATACCTGGAATCTGAAAATAGAATAAAAGAAAATTGCAACACTCTTGAGTCCTGCGCCTTGTGGAATGAGGAAAAGGAGAAGCAGATTAGAGAGGAATGCAACCCATTTTTTTTACACATCAAGGCGGAGGCTGGCGCATCATTTGGCAAGAGGAAATCGACTGCCTCCAGCAGCAGATTTTGGCAGGCATTTCTTTTAATTGTTTAGTCCCAAAGTATGCCTGCCCAAGCAATTG